CAACAACAACAACACACACACACATATACACATATATGATATGTACTTATTACCACTCCTCCTCCCTTTCCCCTTTGCCAAGCACACAGCTCAGAGAGGAATTACTGCCTCTCTGGCTGTCCTCCAACCTTTTAATCCTGTCCTCAGCAATATATTCCTTAATCTTCTTTCAACTTTGAATTCCACTCTCCTACTCCGCTTAGCAGCTCGGTGGGTGGGGAGGGTGCCTATACATAGCTGAAAAGGGGGGCAAAATTGCCTCCGGCGCATGTTCACGTCCAGAGTGCATACATTGCGTAGGCTGGCTTATGACCAGTGGTGCTCAGTGGGAAATATTTATTTGAATAAAGGCTCTCAATGTGACAGTCCTTGAGTAATATCCACTGGAGAGGTTTTTAAAAAAGGCAGAAAACTGTGTTGGACCTATATTGTAAAATAAAGCAAAGATTTGTTGCTGTCTTTATCTCTGCTACTCTTTTGTAAAGCTAATGGGTCATGCTTGCTCAAGACAAGACCACCAAATACTTTGTTGTTGTGTGCTTTCAATGGTGAACCTATCATGAGGTTTTCTTGGTAGGTTTCCTCAGAGGGGTTTTGCCATGGCCATCCTCTGAGGCTGAGAGAGAGTGACTTGCCAAGGTCACCTAGTGGGTTTACATGGCCGAGCAGGGAATCAAATATACATATTGCTGTGTGCCTTCAAGTAATTTCTGACTTATGGCGACCCTAAGGCAAACCTATCATGGGGTTTTCTGGGCATGTTTCTTCAGAGGGGTTTTGCCTCTGAGGCTGAGAGAGTGTGACTTGACCAAGGTCACCCAATGGGTTTCGATTGGCAAGCTGGGATTCGAAACCTGGTCTCCGGGGTCATAGTCCAATACTCAAACCACTCCACCGCACTGGCTTTCTACCACATACTTAGAATTAGGCAAATCATAAAAATCCATTCTAGGTGGAAAAATCGATTTCTTCTAGCCCCAGATTGCACCAAAACCAAGGGGTTTCCAGGCCTGAGCAGGACTCCTAGTCCTGGACATTTTGGAATTCCTCCTGGACAGAAGGTTGGAATGGAGGACATGTCCTGGAAAAGGAGGGCCTGTGGCCATCTTGCACTGGGTGAGCACGAGACATTTCACATTCTTCTTAGCCTTAAAGGAAAGTAATGGCAATCCTTCTCTGAATAAATCTTGCCCAGAAAATCCCAAATACAGCTGCTGTGAGTTGGAGTCAGAGGCACACAACAACCCCCCCAAAAAAACCCCCCAAAAACAACTTTATCAGCACAGGGATAGGATAGCAGCAAAAGAAATACATAACTCTGGGAAAGATCTGGCTGGGTGGGCAGGTGTACCCTAAATAAAATCTCATAAAAGATGTTGTTTTGGTCCGAGAGAGAAGCCTCTTTTGCAACAGCTGCTCACTCCAATTGGAAAAAAGAAAATTAACACTATTTGCTGTACCGGCAGAAAGCTTTAAAATAAGACTTTTATGATGTACTTTCTCATCCTGCCCTGGTTCTGGAGCCAAAGCAACGGCGACCGAGGACAGTAATAAGAATGCAAACACCAGCTTGTGTTTATAAGCCTATTAGGCCTTTACGTAATTCGCCATCTCTGCCTTACATGGCTTTCTCCACTATCTAAACAAGGCTATCGCTTCTTCTCTTGAGCAAAAGGAGAAGGAGCATGTTGGGAGGAGGAGAAGGGGGAAGAGCTAGGAAATGTTCCTTTTTCTAGATTGCAATGCCCCCCAAGGTAACTTTGGTTTCTATAAAGATCCCAATCTACCTCTAAGTTATTACAGATCAGCACAAAAATCAAGAAGTGACCAGCAATTAAACCAATTAATAGTCCCATTTTACAGGTGAGGTACATTGAGGTAAGAGAGAAGCTACTAACCCAAAGCCAAAGCTTTATATATATATATATATATATATATATATATATATATATATATATATATATATATATATATATATAAAGAACTGTTTAGTGTACAATTTATGTGTACAAATGTTGTGAGCCAGTGTGGTGTAGTGGTTTGAACGCTGGAATATGACTTTGCAGATCAGGGGTCGAATCCTGGCTTGGCCATGAAAACCTACTGGGGGATTTTGGGTGAGTCACACCCTCTCAACCTCAGGGGAAGACAATGGCAACCTCCTCTGAACAAATCTTGCCAAGAAAACCCCCTGATAGGGTCATTTTAGGTTGCCATAAATGGGAAATTACTTGAAGGCACACAACATGCAAAGTCTAGGACAACAGAAACGTGGTTTGGAGAAATCCTGAGAACTATAGCTACAAATATTACAGGCTCCTCTTGACACATCTGGAGAAACTCTTAAGAACCAGTGTGGAAAAAGAAATCACATTTATAAGGTTTGGGGAAAGGAAGAGAACGGACTTATCCTTCCCTTCCAAAGGTTTACAACTACCAGAGCATTCAATCCCTCCTTCGTCTCCTTTCGGTCCGGTGTATGTTTGCGACGTTCTTACCTGCATGTTCTGAACAGAGAGGCTTCTGACCTGGGCATTACTGGGACATAATCCCTCTGAACTGCTAATACCAGGGACCAAAAATAGTTGGTGTATATTTAAAAACAACAACAACCACCACCAATACAATACAATATAAAAGCGGCACTGGTTCATCGGGTGCAGAGCAATTGCTATGCTATGTCCAAGAAAGAGGGAAAGGAACTTGCAGAGCACACCTACCAAAACCATATTTTGCCTACTGGGTGAGCTGGGCCAAGTCACACTCTCTCAGCCCTAGAGGAAAGCAATGGCAAAGCTCAGAATGAATCTTGCATTTGCATGCCCTCTGCCCATCCCCATTTGACAGGGACAGT